GGATGGGGACAAGAAGGCAAACTAGGAAAGGGTTTTTGCAAGGAAAAGTTAGTGACGCAATGCATACTAAATCTGACAAACATAYAGATAAACAGACACAGGGTCCGGACGAACGGGCACTGACCTGGGATAAGGGGATTGGAGGAACATATCACATACAAGGTAAGCAATGGAAAGTTAATGGGTCGCAGCAAAATGTTCTTACTATATGGGATATGATGTTTACATTTTTCCTCCCTCCAGGGCAAATTTAMAATCATTGTTRCATATAGCTTTTGAAAATAAGTTGTCCGTGTTTTCCCAATTTTTTGGAAGTTTTTGTGTTCTTCCAATATCCCCAGTGTTTTATTTTACCAGGAACGCACGAAAACGTGCTGTTTCTTGCTTTTATATTATAGCATTTTCGCAACCGTGCATTTACCGGTGAAATAAACAATAACATTTGACCAATCAGAGAGCTCGTACTATGATAGCTATAATATAAATGTGCATAAACTTGATTACGTGAAGAGCGGCAGTCGGCGACATGTTTATCCATCTAACTGCTTAAGCTCTTGCTGTAAAGTACAGCTATAACTGAAACTCTCGAAGCAGGGAATAATTGTGAGACTGTATGTGGGGTATTATCTTAAACATTGTTAATTGTAGAATGAGCATTGGAACAGCTGTAAGTCGTATGCATATTRAATAAATAGATATTTAATATTTCAGAACAAATTTTATAGGATAAAACGTCCATTTTTCTATAACATCTTAAAATACAAAGACACTCGTCATTGATTTTTTTGCCATATCAAGATCTCATTTACATAGTGTATGTGAAGAATATAGGTCTCCAAAATTCATAATAGATTACGAACTGATTATTGAGAAGTCGGAAGTCGCACCACGATTTTGACGTTTTAAAAGAGCTTCAGATCTTTTCGGTAAATAAAACTAGGAGTTGCAAAGTCATTATGTATTAGATAAAATATCGTTCGTCTGGCGCTTATGTTATTCCTTTGATCCAGAAAAGCAATCTACGAAAGCTCTACAAAAACTCTTCACCTGCTCAAAAGTACTTGGTGTTAATCCATTGCAGAATTTTTTCCATTCCCCTATTTTTAATGTAATCTTGTTACAAGCCAATGGGCAACAATCTATTATTAATTCATGTAATTTTACTTCGAGGTAATAAATAATAATTATAGTTACCAAAGCGAAGTTTCATCATAAAGTTGACGCAGGACGTATGCCGTGTATTATAAGAAACATCATTTCAACAGAGAGAACTGGCTAAAACCGATCATCTGAACACTGAAATTGTGCAAGATGAAAGTTAATGCGACTTTCAACCTAAGTTTTATCGGGATATTTTGTGCTTTTGTTTCGCAAATCGATATGACTGTAGCCGACTGCCCTACCTCAGAGTTGTGGACACAGCTTGTTAGCCATGTCATGGAGAATTTGACTATTGGCGATATAGATAGATGCTACAGGACCTGTGCTGCGAAGCCAGGCTGTCAGAGCATCAACTACTACAAAGAAAAGTCCATCTGTGAGTTGAATAGTAGGACAATCGAAAACACGCCAAATGCGAGAGTCGCTAACGAAGACTCTGTGTACTTCATGATTCCAGGTATTTTTATCAAACGTATTTTGTATTAACCGTGGGATTTTTAACCTGTGAGTTCATTTGTTTTATAATTTAGTCTTAGTTTAATCATAAGCAGAGAAACATTATTCTAAACATTATTTAAGGACCATGCTCCACCAGCATGCAATGCGGTCGTGTTCGATTTTTCATATTCAAATATCCATTTTACTATAACTAGTAGAATTCTCGCGCGCTGATTGGTYGAGAGCCGTTGTCGATCGTAGGACAGACCGATGAAATGACTAATCGCTCGCGCACGGAGCCGGCGCGCGCCAGAAACGATTTTGTTTTGAAAGTTTTACTTTGTTTTCGGCTCTGTTATGCTAAAAAACAAACTTGGCAGTGAAACCACTCGCTACGCTCGTGGTTCCACTTGAGTTTTGATCATTTTCTGACGTCATTTTCATTGTCGATAAGCGTACAGACCATAGAAAAGCGCTTTCGATTTGTTAATTCGAAATCCGTTTCCATCCGTCGGTTTGAAGATCGAATCTTACATAACTCGACTTATAGATATTATAGATAATAAAGAGTAAGATTTTGCTTATATTACGATGCATTTTTTATTTCTAAACTTAAACATTAAAATGCTCGAAAGTGATGCCTGTGGACCATAAACATTAAATTGATAATTAAATTCAAAATATATATTTCAAAAAGGTTTACGGATAAAATGGCGAATTTTGTCAAACGGAGGCTGCACGACCAAAAGGAGGCGTGGGTTTTGCGAATCGGTGGGAAAGAATAACTGATATATAATGTAAGACAGTCTGTAGCAAACATAACTCTATTCAGCCAAGGGAGCACGGCAAAATGTTGTTTATTACCTTTTTAATCCGTTAATACGATCGATTCTTTCGCTATAGAATAACCGCCATTTTGTTTTGTATTATGGTTTTCCGCTGACCCTTAGGAATGCTGGCGAACCCCGAAGGAGCGAGCCGATTTCCGAACGAGCCCCGAAGGGGTGAGAAGTACCTTCGGAGCTCGCCAGTATTGTTAAGGGTCGGTGGAAAACCAAGCATATTAAAAAAAGTGAACGAATCGATCGCATCGACGGATTAAAAAAGGTAATAAACAACATTTTGCCGTGCTCCTTTGATTCAGCCTCCAAATTCACGCAAAAAGAAACAAAAAAGTGAAATTTTTAATGTCAAACAGTGTAACCATAGTCCCTTTCGGTCATTCTATCTCCCTTTGGCAATGGCCCTTTATCATTCTCCCCGACAAATATGTATGTGGATGCAGTTTTGATAATTATTTTGTCTTTTTATATTCAGATCCACTCCCTCCAATTCCTGGTAAGTACACAAATGGTATCAAATAATTACGCCTGCATAAACATTAAAAAAAAA